ACAGAAGAGAAACAGGTAAGGAGACAGGGGGTCTCCTTGTCTTAACCCGCACTTGGGAGAGAACGGTTTTGAGGTGTGCCTGTTGATGACTATTCTGTAACTCACTGTAGAGACACATTGAGAAATCATCCTAATCCAATGATTAGAAAACCCGTGCAAATGAAGAATCTTTGTCAGGAAAGTCCAGCTTACCCTGTCGTATGCTTTAGACATGTCTATCTTAACTGCTGCATGATTCGATCTACTTTTCAAATTTATGAGGTGCATGAGCTCGTGGCTCATAAGGATATTATCTTCCATATATCTACCTGGAACGAAGGCGTGCTGGTAGTCGGAGATGATGTTAGGGAGCAGCAATTTTAACCGGTTGACCAAACATGTAGAAATACATTTGTAGACTGTGTTGCAGAGACTTATAGGTTTGAAATGATTAGCAACTTCTGGAACCTTAACTTTCGGGATGAGGACAAGCAACGATTGGTTCCATTCCTTTAGCATATTACTTGGACACTGACAACAACCAGTTGCCCTACTTCCTTCCAAAAAAGATGGAAAAAATCCGCAGTAAACCCATCCGGTCCCGGAGACTTCGAGCCATTCATACCAAACATAGCTTTCCTAATTTCCTGAGTAGAAAAGGGTCTATCAAGCCATTCTCTATCCTCCCTACTCATAGCTTGAATATGCAATTGTCGAAGCAGAAGATCAATATCTTCCTCATGGGTTTCTCCCATTGTTGGATTAAAGACACTCTTAACCGACTTCAACACCATCTCCTCAACCTTATCTTGTCCTTCAACCCAGATCTCTTCATCATTCTGTAATGTTAGGATTTCCTTGAATTGTTGTTTCCGTTTCATTCTTCTGTACATTAATTGGGTGGGGCAATCACCAAATTTGATCCAATTTGATTTCATTCTCTACTTCCAGTACTCGAAACTTATCTTGCACTCTGGGATGCGGGAATTTATTTGATTGATGTAGTACTCCCCTTCTTGTAGGGAGTTAATGTTATCACCCACCGAACCCAAGGCTGAGGAGACTCCTATCCAGTTAATTCCCCAAATCTTTTTGTTTTGTTAAGCACCGACTTTGAAGAGAGACTCTCAGATTACCTAACTTCTTTGTCAACTGAAACATACAAGATCCGTGCACTTCTAACTTCCAACAATCCTTGACAATTGTTTTAACCTCGGGGAAATTGAGGCACCAATTTTCAAGTTGATACGGCCTATTAGATCTTTTAGAAGATGGATTGGAGTAGTAAGTGATCGCTGCATGATCAGAACATATGATCAGCTCATGAACCACTCTCCCATCTGGGGTGAGATTGAACCACTCTCCGGTAATGTAGGCTCGGTCAAGCCTTTTGAGAATAAGCTCCTGACCCATTCTTTTATTTCTCCAAGTAAACCGCGGCCCTGAGAACGGAACTTCAGTGACATCGCTACTCAGTCTCCAATCAAGGAAAACATCACTCCCTCTAATAAAATTGGACCCTCCAATTTTATCAGTCCCACTCTCAATTTGGTTGAAGTCGCCAATAACAAGCACATTTTTGTAATCCTCCAAAAATAGTTAAAGGAGTTCCCAAATCACTCTTCTGTTCTCCATAAGAGGCTCACCATAAAAGAAAAGTACATACTTAGTGTTTCCATTTATCTTAGAAATTTTACAAAAGATGATGTTCCTAGAAGAGTACAAGCAATCAACTGCATCATTTGATCAACTTAAAACTAAGATACCCTCACTAGTACCAACCGAATCAAAACCAAAAACATAAGTTGGTCTTAAACAATCTAACCTATGAGCGACATTAACAAAAGCCATTTTAGTTTCCGATATAAACATAAACATAGGAAGTTTAGAACGGTAGATCCACACTAGATATGGGATTTCAAGGGAGTGTGGATCGTTCAACTGTCACTATGTAATGATATATAATAAAAACAACAAATTTTAAAATACAAAAAGTGAATTACGGAGTACTATCGTGGTCAACTGTCACTAATGAAGGTGAGGAAGATTTTTGTCCAATATAAAAGTGTTAGAAGAAGTATAAGTTGTTGGATTATATGAACAAGATATTTCTCTCCAACAAATAGTATTTTCGGCAATTTTGAACTCAACTTACGGTTGTCGTTACTCTTTAATAAAAAAAATGAGTTCAACATAAACTCAATAAATAAATCGGTAGTAGATAAATTCTTATAAATTACATAATTCGTTTTTAATTAGGGGCTGTTTGGTTCGCAGGAGGTAATCGGAATGGAATGAACAAAGGGAATAAAAGAGAATGGAATGAAAAACCTTTCCAAATAGTATGTTGTTTGTTTTAAAAAAAAGTAAAAGGAATGGAGCCACCAGTCCACCACCACCACACAGCCACACAAACAACTCATTCCTTCAAATTTCCAGCCATCACAGCCAGCCCACTACCCAGCCACCACCTAGTCACACTCGCCGCCCCTAGTCGCACCTCCCCCACCCATCGCCGCCGTTCCTCACCGCCCAAAAACCCCACCCTCCCCCCAAAACCTTCCCCTACCCTCGAAAAACCCTAGAAATCCCTCCTCGTTCTTGTAAAAACCGCCGGCAGGGAGGAGGAGAGATTTCTAGGGTTTTTCGAGGGTAGGGGAAGGTTTTCGGGGGAGGGGAAGGGTTTTTGGGCGGCGAAGAAGGGAAACGAGAGGAAGGTGAGGTGCGGCGAGGGTAGCTGGGTGGTGGCTGGGCGATGGGATACTCGGGGAAGGGGCGACGATGGTCGGGGAAGGGGCGGCGAAGAAGGGCGACGAGTTATTTGTGCGGTGGTGGAAGGTTTTTAGGGGAAGGGAGGCTTATCGGTGGGCGGCGATGGTCGGGGAAGGGGCGACAATGGCGGTGGAGGTGCGACTAGGTGGCAGTTGGGTGGTGGGGGTAAGGTAAAAGGGTGGTGGCTAGTGTGTGTGTGGTGGTGGAGGGGTGGCTAAGGAAAGGGAATAGAAAAGGTAGGGGTGGGGAATGAGTTTAGAACAATTTTGGGTAAACCCAAAAATAAAAATGGAGAATGGGAATGACAAAAGATGCAAAACAAACACTTACAAAGGGAATAATTCCCATTCTCTTTCCCCATTACAGCGAACCAAACGGCCCCTTAGTATCCACATTTTGACTTTTGATATTTCGTATAATATTTCATTTGACTAACATATATGAACTACAAATACAAAGTACAAAAAAATTATAATCTTTTGTTAGATATGTTTTCATTTGTACTTGATTAACATTCTATTTTTAGTATTTTTTTTACAAGGCAAAAGCTAACGAGCGCCCCGGGGTGTTAGATAAGAGAACTAAAAGTGAAAACATTAGAATAAAACTAACATTAATTACACCGAACGACGCGTGATTTTGTCATGCATTCATAACTTAATACTATTTTTACTTAGCAATATATTCATTAGTTAACTAATACATCGGGGCGCTCGTTAACAAGATCTATCTATGTATTTAGTGATGATTTATTAACATAAAATTCATAAGTATAATTTTTCCGTGCCCTCGGGAAATGTTTTGTGATTTGGTAATTCAACTTTGGTGCCATAAATTTTATATTTATTTCAATTTGATGTTTTGAAATATATTGATATGATATAAAATATTAAAGTGCTGATATTGTATATATCTAATGTTGTTGATTGGATTGATAGTGAGTTCGGTCGTTTATAAAGTAGAGGAATTACTGTAATTACTAATAGTCTATCACCAATTGATTTTTAATATGGACCTACTTCGGCCTTATTTGTGAACCGAACTCTCCTCTTCCTCCTTGTTTGGGTTGTCCAGGCACATTTCATATAATCTCAAAAATCTAACACACATATAATACATTCTTAAACATAAATTCAAGAGATTTTTCTCAATATCGAGACTGAAAAATGACATTTTTTTCCCCTTACACTTATAATAGACTAAAAAGTTAATCCTTATTTATAAAAATCAGCGTAAATACATTTTTTAAGGCACCAAAGCGAAGAAAGTATATGGAGTAAAACTCACGGTATTGAAGTGGAAATACCAAATAATCGGACAACATATATAGTGCAACAATTTCTTAAAAGTTCCAGAACGCCAAAAACAGTTTTTAAAAGTTCAAAACACCAAAGTGGAATCATTGAAACCACAAGACACCAAAGTGAAATTATGTCAAATCTCAATATAAAAGTTACAGAGTAATGCTTGATTAATGAAAAGGTTTGAATCTCACGGTTGTGGGATTAAATTAAACTCAAATAGAGGCACTATCCCCCCGCCCTCCAAAGGGCCTTGCTCGTTAAACCGAGGAGTAATGATATATAATTTATGCAGCAACACAATCATACTACTGTAGTGCAATGAGGAAGCTTATCTTGTTAAATTTTTAACTAAATGATTGGTGAAAGCCGTTCAAATTTGAAAAGGATTATTTTTTATTTATTTATTTTATTTTTTAAAAAAACTACCCTCCAACCGACCCTATGTGGCTAATTAGCTATGTGTACAATATACATTGATGCAAATAAGAAAGTATCCCGTTTTTATTTTAGCTTTATTCTCGAGGCAATTCTAAACTACCAAACAATTTTTCAAGCACGTAAATCGAGACGATTTTCGAGAGCACAAATCGAGACATCAATTACAATGAAAAGTGGAGGCAATATTGAACTTAAAATAAGCTTGTACGAGTATAATTTATTAATCGTAACCCATGCAAATACCCCGCAGTCCTAACTATTCTAAACGGATGTAATAGCCGAATAAGGCCCTATTTTTCACCTTAAAATAATACAGTAATATTTAGTAAAAATAATTTTAACTCAATAAAAATAATTTTAGTTTAATAAAAATAATTTAAATTAGTTAAAATAAGTAACTTTAAAAAAAACGGCAAATAAAAGTTTTAATGTAAAAATAATTTCAATTTAATAACATAGCCTAAATATATACACTAGGGTGCCTTGTAATGGAGATCCATAAAACGACCAAAATGTATCTGCAACGGCAAAAGCCAAACGGAGAAATGCCCTTTGCCCCCTTGAATAAATTTTTAAAACTCTTGAGTTTCAATTTTCAAACAACCACATCAACTATATAACCCAGAAAATTTCTCCAAAATTTGATACTCTTTCAAACTTCATCTTCCTCAACGTGTTGCTAATTCTCTCATCTCTTCTCCAACTCAAACCAGTATGTAACTGTAGTCCTCTTTCTCTCTTCAAATTCTTTTTACTGTTGCATTTCCATTTCCATTTCCAATTTCCCTTCTGTTCTTCAAGATTATCCAGATTTTTTTTTCTTAAATTGCTAGAATTTTTGTAGAGAAATTGCAATTAATCCTAGCGCTGAACGGATTAAAGATTGTAATATTGGTGTATGGCATTTCCATATCATCAGATAGGAAGAAGAGTTGATGTAATTAATCCATACGACGTCGTGTGCTTTGTTCCTGTATATAATCCGCTTCCTCCTGCTTTCCTTGTTCGTATGGATGTTCATCTCTCCATTACTTTGCATCAGGTAATTCCCCATTTATTCAATTTTTCTGGGTTTAATGTTAATTTGTATTTGGGTTTATCTTTAATTTTTTCCTGGGTTTAATCATATTTTGTTTTTGGGTTTAATTTCATGTTTTTGTTGGGTTTAGTTCATGGTTAATGAAGGTCTGGTGCCGTCTCCTGAAGAGACACTCAAAAGAGAAACCATAATTCGGAAGCTCAAAAAGGTATTTTCTTTTCTTTTTCTTGATTTTTTTAATTTTTTTTGCGCCTTTATTTATTACTTGTATATGATTTAATGAGTGGCATTTTGTTTATAAGATGCCTATATTTTGAAAATCATGATTTTGGGTGTGTTTATAAGGCATTAATTTATACGGAGTACATGCTTTTTTGGGCTGTTGTTTGGAGCATACATGTAATGTGGCTTAAGATTTTGGGGGTTTGTGGAAATGCTTAGATTTTGATCAAGGAAATTAACTCTCTTTGTAATTGTTGTATATACGCGAGTACGGTTGCATACATTTGACCCGGTTCCATTACAACATGATTTAGGCCAAAGTCTCATAAGAGGCATATGGATAACAGGCATATGGATAACAGTATATATATATTTATATATATATATATATATACATATATACATATATATATATACATATATATATATATAATATATATATATATATATATATACATATATGTATATATATATATGTATATATATATATATATATGTATATATATATATGTATATATGTATATATATATATATATATATATATGTATATATATATATATATATATACATATATATATATATATATATATATATATATATATATATATATATATATATATATATATATATTCTTGATCAGGACTTGTGCTTTTGTGCGTAAACACTTGTTGGTTTCAATGAAACTTTTGATGCTTGGATTGTATGACTGCATGAGAATGTCACCAAGGCGTTAAATGTATATTATTGCAGCAAAAATGAAATTGGTCCAAACTCAAGGAAATAAGGAGCGGAAGCAGTAAAGCTCCGTTTTCAATAGGAGAAAGTAGTACTACTGGCATTTGCGCAAGACATAATTCATATTTGAGCTAACAAGTTTGTTGAGAAGTCATTATAGGGTGTGCTATTAGAGCAATAATCATATTGGAATTTGGCTGACGATCCAATTCAAACTATTAATTTGCAATATGCATCTTTTAAAATTAATAGTCTTAAGTGTATATGATGTGCACTAAATTAGAGCTAATGGGTCTGGATCTCGGGTTCCAATTTTGTTTTATCTCCTGCCTTTCTACCAAAGTAGGATTTTGAACTCAAGAGTTTTCATGTGAATGTATAGTGTATGTTCTTCAATGACATCATTCCGTTGTATAGTCATTCTTCTAGGGTAGTTTGCTCAGATAAGCTGTTGGTAGAGGCACTCATTTCTCCCTCTTGTGGCAGACCTCCCAATTAAGTGTTTGTTACTTGAACTACTGCTTTTTCTTTGTGTTGTATGAATCTAATTTTAGCTGCTTTAGGGTCCTATTCAATTGCCTCATGGTGATTATTTCCGTGCTGTAGATTGTACAGGAATGGATTATAAAAATTCACCAGAGGAAGCTTTCTAAACAGAGAAGAAACTTACGGATCAACAATGCATCAGCCACAATATTTACTTATGGATCTTTTGGCCTTGGGGTAAGAATTCTGTTTCTCACTTGTAGTATGTGCATGGACGCATGGTCTTATGTTTCTTACACACATAAACTCATTTTTTTTAATTTTTTTTTAATTTTTAATTTTTATATATACTATATTAAGATTTTTGGCCTGTTAATTATGGAGTAATGTTTTCTTTAATAAATTGTGATCAGATTGCAGTGTTAATGCTCTGAATTATTTCTCCTAGTTTCAGGCCTTGTTAAGCAATAACTTCTTAATCAGCTTTTAGAATTTTGACCCATTAATTTATGGATCTTCTAACTATAAACAACAGTGTTTGATAAAATAGTGTTTTGGGGTAGTTTTGACTTTTGAGAGGTATAATTAATGGTTTGGAGAAACTAAAGATGAAGTTCTGTTCTATTTTTTTTCCTCCCTAATTTAGCAGTTTTCTGTACAGAACACTAAAGTCTTGCTAGCTATTCTCTATCATCTAAAATTTAATAGCTCAACTATACAACAGCTAATAGGGCCTTAGTCAGTTTTATATGCCTTGAGGTCTACATGCAAGCAAAGTATAGAGTTAATGGTCCTAACATGCTTAGTACTTGGTTAAAGCTCAACAGAGAGGCCTGCATTTTTATATGGTTCTTAGATGTTGGATCCATCTGCCTATGCTGATTTAAGTGGTTTCTGTCCTCCTTGCCCCTGTTTTGGGGGATGGGAAGAGGACGTTCAAATTTCCAATGCTTTGCCTATTGTGAATGTATGTTACATGGACTCAGGTAGTAGTGCCAGATTGCCAGTCCTGTTGGATATAGGTATGCATCTAGGAGTTGGCCATTTTATGAAAGGTTGATGATTATGGTCCATAATGAAGTGTTAAATATTCATATCCATGTTGAAGTATCAAGTATACAACATGGTAGTTGAGGTCTAATAAAGAGTTTAAGTACCATAATATGTGCAAGCTCGTAATATTATATAATCTTGAAATCTCCATGAAAATTGAAACTAAAAATATCCGATGTCATATTAAGGCTGAATTTGCTTCTAATGAAGCCCCTATCATCTTATGCTCTTTCATATTGTTATAATTTAGAATTGATGCTCTAATTGTTTAATATCATGGTTGTGTTTCTGGTTAGGCGGCGATTAATAACAAGTATGATTCAAAATTTCATCTGTAGTGTCATTTCTATGTTTTACCCAGGTTCATAATTCAGAATCAGACATTGATGCTATATGTGTTGGCCCTCGGTTTGCTACTCTGGAAGTAAGTTTCTTTTTTCTATCAATTTTATGGAATTGATGCGTGGCTATTTGTTGGATGTTGTCTCATTATTGTCTTTGGCATCGCAGGAGGATTTCTTTATTGTTTTATACAATATGCTTAAAAGCTCACCTTCAGTGTCTGAAATCTACTGTGTCAAGGATGCTAAGGTGCCATTAATGCGATTTAAATTTGAAGGGATCTCTGTTGATATGCCATATGCTCAACTTCGAGTCATGTCAGTTCCTGAAGTGAGTAAATGTTCGCTGCTTAAAGATGGAAAGTTAGTCTGAACATTAAAGAGCTTATTCACAAGGATAGATGAGATAATCTTCATTCTGTTTGTTTCTGTTATTAAATTGCATTTATTTCCATTACAAAGGATAAATTTTCCCCTTTTTCCCTACAAAAAAAAGTTTCTTTTCTTGATCTGCTGAAATCATGAATGCAGAATGTGGACCTGCTGAATCCAATGTTCGTGACCAGTATTGATGAAACTAGTTTGAAAAGCTTATCTGGTGTGTGTGCTAATCAACGCATCCTTCAGCTTGTTCCAAACTTGGAGGTAGTATGTTCTGATCTGTGTCCCTCTTTTTTCATTGAGATATTATCTAGCAAATTGTGTCAATCCTTCATTCCTTCTGCTTCCAGAGCCATTATATGGGATATTGTACATTATTTCTTGTAGAGCCTTTCAAAAATGAAAAATTGCAGTTTCACAAAAATTGTTGTCCCAAAGTGTCATGTATCCAGCGTGTGTGACTACTTGATAAATGTGGTCAAAACATGTGTATACTTTTGCTACATATCTGTCTTTTGTTGATAATGGGTTAATTTTCCATGTCAGGGTAATGTGGGTTTGTATTCTCAGTTAGTATTTTTTAGGAAATGATGCTGTTTGGCTAATATTTTGTGCCTATTATGATTTTTTTATTTTTTTTCTTCTTCTTGGAACTAGCCTGCTCCACTACTGCCAGTTACTGCTTTTGAAATCTAAAGTTTAGCCTTTTTTGATGAAAATATTTGGTTGATGTCAATATTAACCTCTTTTATTGGAAGGTGAGCTAGTCTATTCTTCCTGTATTTCATGTCCTGGTTCAACGTGAGGGTTGAACTTGGCTGGTCCTTTTGTGAATTGTGATCAGAGACTAATGGATAATTGAGCAATGTATATGCATTTATTACTTAGTACAGTTATTATAACTCAAAATTTTTAGCCTTCCCTACTTTTTCTAGTTTTGTTGTTCAGGACATAGGCTGTGTTTCACTTCTCCTACAATTTATGCGTAATTGCATATCATCTCCATATTGTTCGGGTTAAAGTGATCTGCTGTTGTATTAAGTAAGCCATGTACATTAACCTTGTGGGGTAGATAGAAAACAAACTGATAGATTAATGATTATAAAAAGTAAATTCAAAGAGAATGAAACTTGGGAGAGGTGATAAGTTCACCTCTTTGATGTCTTAATATTGGTCACTAGTCGTCTCACTTTCTTATAATCCTTCTAGATACCTTTACTAAAGACCATTTGGTCGAGTCTTGCTTTAATCAGCTTTTCCTTTCTTCTTAGGTCTTTGAGAGCTGTCTAAGTGTTGATGATTAATTTGATTCTAACGGGGTAATAAATGGTGCTGCATCTTGGTGAAATTTGTCTAATATGATACCATCTTTGCATTAATCATCTCCCAACATTATTCTCAAACAAAGGATCAGACTGTTCCAAAGTATGATTAGTCATTATTCATCACTGGTTGTCTTAATTGGTATCCATTTCCTGGTATGCCACCCGTGACACCAGCTCAGTAAGGATCAATTAATCAAGTATTGTTGATTAATTTACTACATGCCCTTCTACCGGGAATAAATGTCATCCGTATTATGGTACAATATCTGGAGAAAATAACATCCATGTTACAAAGTTATTTATTTATTTTAATTAATTAATTAATTTTTTTATTTCTTTTAAGAATGTTGATCTAACATGAATTATCCATATCCATTTGGTGAATATAGCTGATCTGACACTGGTGCCTGACTGAGGTTTAAAGGCGAGTCATGCGTAATATAATAAAAAATTGTAATATATATATGCGTAATATAACTTTTATTTCTTCATTCAGCCCTTTGGGTCTTGTATATCTACACCATTCAGTTATTAGTTTCTTACATATGTGGTTCATATGTTACAGAATTTTCAGTCATTGCTGCGGTGCATCAAGTTTTGGGCCAAACAACGTGGTGTTTATGGTAATGTAAGTCATCTTTGTTTGAACTTCCTCAGTTAGAGATAATAGTTTGCTTTTGGAGCTATGTGCTCCTTGACTGCTTTTAAGCTTTAGAATGCATTAATCTGGTGTTAGTTCTTGTATAATTACATCTATCATGTGACTTCTGGATCTCTTGAAACCCAACAACATTCTGTTCCTTCTCTTCTGCTTGGGATTTTATGTTGTGGACCGTGTCAATTTACTGGATAATAACCTGCTATAATAATTCCATAAACACCTTGCAAAGATGTGGCAAACACCATACCATAATCAACTGATCGAGCAACCATACTTAGCATAAATGTAGTGACTGGAGCCATTCAAAAAAGGGAGAAATTAGCTCTACTTGGTGAAATAGGTTCTTTTAGAATCAATTTCGAACCATCTGCTAGAGGTTGTAACAACCCAAATGATTCCACTATATCAGGACCCTCTTGACGTTGCACAAAAGCCATTACTTCTCATTCAGCTAGCACTAAAATGGCCCCTTTTCTTTATTCACACACCATGATCTGTTACATGAATTTTGGCCATCGGTCAATGTCAATTGCCCCACCAACTTGTTATAATGTTTCTAAACTCTTGCCTTTCCATTTAATGCAATAACACGTCAGGAATGTCCTAATAATTTATCCTTTACGGGCTGTTGGCCATTCGTTAATCTTTAATTAAGTGTAAAGTAAATATGCAATTCTTCCCGTTGGACTGTGGTGGTTGTTAATGTTGTTGCCATGAATGGACATGCTATTAGTGCTGAAAAGAGACAAGTCTCCAATAGATCATATTTTGTTAGTACACAAAAAGAAACCTGTATTGTTGCACTTCATATTATCTGTGTTAGCTACACCGATTTCCAGTAAGGTTTCACCTCATTATCAATTTAAGCAGCTAAAATATGCAATTTTACATGACACCTAGTTTTGTCAAGTTTAAATACTCTTTTGTTGTTTGCGAGCAATATTTGGCTGTTGCATGTTCTGCTTGAATATGATTCGTTGTGGCCTTGTGAAATTTAGAGCAAATATTGGTATTCAATATAGATGGGATACTCAATGTGTTACAAGCTTACAACAGGGACATATGCTTACCCGGGGAAGCTTATCTCTCAGTTGTATTTAGTCTTCTCTTTCTTTGTCACTGCATTAGATCATGGGAGGATGTTTGGAGAGGAAAACAACTGTTTTGTGTCCGTTCCCATCGATTATATTGTTTTTCTACACCAATTGGCTCTCTTCATTCTGCTTTTCATATTGACAATGTTGGGGAATTTCACTTCTGGCTGCATCCCTATGACAGGGTTATAAATGAGTGATTTTCTAGGTTCTGGCTCCCCAATACTTTGAGGTGAAGATTTTAGGAGTTGGGTGGGTGATTTTCCATGTACACTCTTTCCCAGATTGTTTTATAAGTATTTTGAGGCCAGGTTATCTTAAGGTGATCGATTTTATGTCCAATTCTGGCATCAGTTAAAGCTAAAACTATCAACATGGCATTACTCCATGTGATGTCAGAATGGTAACATTGATTAGGGATTAAGTTGTTGAGCTTTTGTATGCAAGTAGAGAAACAAAGGCAGATGAAGTTTAGAAGATTTGGAATTAAGAGATTTACCTTCCTGTTGTTTTAAGTGTGCATCTCTCATACATCCTTGTTTTATATTCTTGTCACACAGGTGTTATCCCATCTGGCCACATCTTTCATGGTTGTCTTCTTGTTACTGGATATTTGACAACTCTGTGTTTGTTTTCAGCTCTTTGGATTCCTCGGAGGGATACATTGGGCTATATTTTCAGCTTTTATCTGTCAAACGAGTCCAGATGCTTGCTTAAGTGCCCTTGTGATGAACTTCTTCAACACATTTGCCAATTGGCCCTGGCCTACACCTGTTGTTTTGCAAGATGGAAGGATGCACGTTGTGCAAGATGTGACCGAGAAAGTAAATTGGATGCCAATTGGTCTACCTTGTAGTCCTAATCAATGGTGCCAATCTAATGTCACACGGAGCACGTTTAACCGAATTAAGAAAGAATTTTTAAGAGGGCATGAGATCGCCAAGGTTAGCATACTTGATTTTTTGTAATAATAAAACCTTTTTGACCATTTTATAATTCATCAGTAATACCAGGCTGTGATTTTATAAATGGCTTGGTTGATTTTTTTTATTTTTTAGTTTTAATAACTATCATTACCCATAAAATGAGCAAAGGTACTGTTATTTGACATTTAAATTCTAGTGGATTACAGACAATAATGGCTCAAGAAATTTTGTTTACTTCTTTTTCATTTGAGTAAAAGATACTTTGCTCTTTGATCTATGTCTTTTTCAATTTTACAGCTTTCACCGACTTATTTCTTCTAACACATTTTATCTTTAAATTTACAGGAGATCCTGCGGCCTAATTTTGACTGGGATTGTTTATTTGAACCTTATAGTATCATGTACCGTCATTTGTACCCCCAATTTCTCAAAATTTACCTGTTATCTCGTACGAAAGATGAGTTGGGAGAATGGGCTGGATGGGTGAAATCACGTTTTCCTTCTCTCATTTTGAAGGTAAATGAAAGTTTATGTCACGCTTTTGGCTCATCTGTCTTTACACTGAGTACAACTAGGAGGCAATTCCCCATCTTTTTTTCTTTTTTTATTTTCCGGAAAAGAAAAATACACCAAGGGTAGGGGAGTCTTCTCTCAAGACTGAACCCTATCTTATCAAGAGTCTAGAACCTGAATGTTTTTTGATGAGCAATTCTACATCTTTTATCATGCTCTATAGTGATAGATTTTTGCTACCTCATGTTATTATCCCTCCTTTTATGCGTGATTTAGGTGGATTTCTGACTGGCCTCAATTGAATGCCTTTTTCTTTCTTTAATTTTTGTAATTTTTTGCTTATGTTTAATGTTTTTAGTTACACAAGCATCATTTCTTCGTAATTTAGCCTATATGTGAAATATTTTACAATTGTTTTAAAATACCAATAATTGCAGTTATCAAGATATTTTTGTAAATTTCTTGATTCTATGGCTCTCAATTAACAATAAAATTCAAAGTAGGTCGATAAGATGATGCCCAATTGGTATTTTAACAGTTATCTCCTTAAATTACTAGTTGTCTGAGGGTTTTTTTTTTTTTTTTTTATTATTTTTGTAAAAGAAGACTGGTGGAAATCTATCTTCATCCCTTGTAAAGAGTAAAGAGCACTGAATAAATATAACTTTAACTGTGGGTCTTAAGCCATTTCTCATTTATTTGTCTCTCTGTGTAGTTGTTGGCATCCGTCTCTTGCCATTTTGTTTGTGTAAAGTCGCTGGCATTCTCCTCTAGTCTTTTTTTCGTTCCTTCGCATTTGTTAAAATGCTATACGAAGTATATTTTAGGTGAACAGGTAAAGAATGGTTAAGAAAATTAAAGATGATGAGAGAACCTTTTGACACCAAGCCTTTTCTTTTCCTTGTAGCCACGAATCCTATGATTGTTAGTTTGTGTGTGTGACGTGTCTTTATTTGCTTTCCTTTTTCTCGAGCTCCTCACACTTTGTAAGCCTTTTCTTGCGGTGACACTTCGTATGCCTAGTCTAGTAAAGAAAAGGGCTTTTCTAAGCATGCTCTCCCCCTTCCGCTCTTATGTGCAAACAATACTCACACACAACACACCAATGCCCATTTCTTGTTGTCTAAAAATTTTCTCTTGTTTGGTTTTCCTTGCAGTTGGAGGACATCCACATGTCTTGTGACCCCAACCCCACAGAACATGTTGACTCTGGAACAAGTGTAGTTTTCTACTGGGGCCTTAATATTGATCAATGTACAGATGTCAATGTAACTTCGCTTGAGAAGGAATTCAGGAACTGTCTCAGTAACAGCTACCGAGGAACCCCAGGACAGATGTTACTGAGTATCGTGCCAGCTTCAGAACTGCCCAACACTGAACAATTCTCTGCCAGAAAAATGAAGGGAATGAAAGCGTTCTGCGGGATTCCTGAACATGATCAGTATAGAATGCCTGTGTACTCAGAGCACCTGCCGAACTATTTTGTTGGTTATGTTGCCAGTGAAGGTAATGCTGGCGTATTGGTTTAGGCTTGCACTAATTTCCTTTTCATGAAATGAAATGGAGAGAAGTAAAACTGAAAGCCCCTATTTTTGGCAGATTCCTCTGCTATTCATCAGCTCTAGGTAGGGTTCTCACCTGTGTATGGTGAATAAACAATAGATATATGTACATAAAGAGGGTACAAAATTGCTCTGGAATGTATAAATTTGAGTGGCGATCAACATCAGTACAGGATAATACAAATACAGTACATTTAAGCCTCTGAAGATCAACTAACATTAGAGGAAAGAATGAAAGTACACTGCTAATTATTTTAGCCATGAAGCTGCTTATTTTTTCCAGTTAAAGTTTTTTTTCCAATTGCTAGATGTACCGTTTCTTTTTTTCAAATCTTAATAGACTGAACTTTATTAAAATATCTGTTGTATTTTACGTCTTATACAGGTTCTTTTGAGGAATGTAATAGACTAGTAGTAGTGTACGCTGTGTTTGCAACTTTGCAAGTGACATTATCGACAATAGATGTACTTGCGGAATGCAGTTATTCCTCTTGTTTACGTGGGTTCTTCTTAATCCCCTACTACTATCCACTAGTTCGATTTCATGCTGCCTTTAATTTGCATACATATGGAGGTTGAATTCTTCCTTAAACCCAAAATCCGATACATGATCAAGCAGGATATTGCTTGGTTAATTGAGTTTCCACATTCATGGTGGAGATAATTGAGTGCATTAGCCACATCAATCGCTATATCCACCCTATGGAGAAGGCTCAGGTTTCCATCTTCATGGTAAGGACCATTGTAAACAATTTTTAGCAAAACTCAACTGAATAAAATATGTTTTTTCAATTCAAAGAGCTCTTTGGGCAAGGATCCATTGAATTTATTTGAGGTTAAATCCAGATATGTACAATTACTAAGGTTGGGATGTATTTTTCCATGCAAGTTATTATTATATAGACTAAATAAGTTTTCTTAGATGTGATAAATTTCCAAATGAACTGGGAATTTCTCCTATTTGTTTGTTGGAGTAAAGGTCTAGACATTCCAACTTTTGAAGGTTCCCAAAATCACGAGGGAGATATGGAACCTGTGAGTTTGTTATTTTCCATCATAATGTCCTTAAGATTAATGAGATTCCCAAAAGTTGGTATTATTAAAATATGCATTAAGACGATTCTAACCACATTTCAAAGCACACGACAATATGGTTCATCATAATTATAAATTAAATCACAAAATTATTCAAGTTAGAGTTTGTAAAAAGTAGTAGCAAAATTAAAACGCGTTAAAAAAAAAAGAAGTTTGGAGTAAATATTTTAAACCTATGAAGAGAATATTCATAGTATATATTCTCTGATATCTATCATCCATACTCCATAGAGCATTATGCATGAAGTATATTGCAAGGAACCTCTTCTTGTAATTTGTATGTACAAATAAATTAATTTTCTTAATACAATGGTGATCAGAAGTATATCAGTTATGATTTTGGGATGATGTAACTTGTAAGCGACCTAAGCGTTATTAATTTGGTTTGTATCATTGCAATAAAGGAGGATCCATATTAATCTCTTTAGATATCAGGAAAAGTGTATATATACAGTACTTCTATTAACTAGTTGTAAACTTGCACTAAAATCAAAGCGATTCAAAAGGCCTAGCCAAGATAGTTATCGAGAAAGATCTAAACGTCGCGAAACAAAGTCTAGATGATCTTCACAGTTTTGCCCGTGACACGGGTAAAGAACGGTTTGTAAGAGAGAAAAGTGGCAAATGTTCGGAGGAGTACAAGGCGATTGTGCTCACTCTTATGCCTAGTGCAGATAAAGCTCTTATTTCTGGTAGCCTTGGTGATGCAATACAAGCTCTTAAGTCAATAGCAAATTATGCTAAGGCTTGCAATGATGAATTCTCGAAAGGGGGTGTTAAAGAACCATTTTCTAATATGAGCGGGCACGACATATCTCTGCTTCCATCAAACATTATTGAGATCATAACTTAGTACAGAGTGCGTTTTTTTTTTTCAACGACTATTCTAAACAGTACAATCGCTAAATAATGCTTTTCTTATTGTAAACGCGACCCAATAAACGTTGAATCCTATTAATTGGTTGCTTTAATAGTTTGGATTATTTGTATAACTAACTAATAAAAAAAGAACTTTGTTCTAACTATCTAGTTTTATACTATATTCAATTTATGTTCATTTATAAACTTCAAAACTAACCTTAACGCATATCGATTGGAAATCAATTATCTTCTCGATCCACCACTGTTAATAATAGGTACGTACTTGTACCGCACACCACAGGTCTCTCTACTTTTACCAATCTATCTATCATGGCTAGTTATCAACACATGTTATACGTCGCCTGTGAATTTGGACTTTTGGAGCCTGCCTTCGAGATGAATGAACTTACATAACATAGATCACGACTGTACGAGGTGTATTTTACAGCTCCAATGACAAGGAAGCGTGTCCGTAAGTACGGGTTATCGATAAGTTTATCATAGAACAGTATGAAGAACGATTATTTGGTTTATTACAATGTTTAAGTAAAAAGCGATAATGGGGCTTGTACTGTGCAGTGCTGCACATAAAGACACCCACATCGAATAATAAAAAATATATTATCTTATTTAATATAGACATTGTAGTAATGCTACAATGCTCCACTATTTTTTCTTTCTATCTATCTCTCTCAAATCCCACATGCACATATGTACTTCTAATCATTAGTTTTAAGGGATTTACAACTTTCTTAATTACCGCGTAAAAACCCAAAGAAACATTGTATTATGAGACGGAGAGACTATAATTTTCAAAGCTATTGAACGCAACATGTGCTTGTAGGGCTAGTATTACCCGAAGTGTATACTTAAAATAATAAGCAATAAATCGTTCATAAATATGTTTTTCTTATTTTAATGTTTTTTTTATTGATTACAAAAAAAGGAGACATATTAACTACTCAGATTTTTGAGAAAGGAAGCATATATTAACTTAATAAGGAAGCATATATCAACTAAAAAGGAAGCATCTCAACTAGAATTTATTGTAAAAGGAAGCATATCAACTAGATTTATTTTTAAAAGGAAGCATATCAAGTATCAACTAGAATTTTTTAAAAAGGGAAGTGTATCTAATGCAATTAATTAAATCTCATACCAATGATGCTCTAAGAGCAACTCCAATGGTTGTAGCTAGAGATTTATTTGCAATTTTAAATAATGCTCTAAGAGCTACTAGTTTGACCATTATTAGAGCTAGAATATGCAATTAGAAAAAAAAACTAGGAAAAAAAAATTGCTAGAAAAAAACTTGCTAAAAATGCACTAGTAAGGCCATGTTCACTTCACCTTAAAAAATAATATTAAGTAAAAATAATTTCAGTTCAGTAAAAATAAGTCCAATTCAGTAAAATTCAGTAACTTTAAAGAAGAAATATAATAGAAAAAAATAATTTCAGTTTAGTAAAAATAATTTCAGTTCAGTAAAATTAATTTAAGTCCAGTAAAAATAATTTTAGTTCAGTAAAAATAATCTTAGTTCAGCAAAAATAAGGTGAAGTGAACGAGGCCTAATATAAAAAAGATGAAAACAATAAATTAATAATTTTAATAGTAAGCTAATAGATAGCCATTGGAATTCAAACTATCTAGAAAGATAATTAGCTTAAAAGCTTATGTGACATGACAAGCTAATTTAATCTGACAATTAGCTTGTCATTGGAGTTGTTCTTATAAACCCCCCCCCCCCCCAAATAAAAAAAAATCTCTCTCTTTTCTCTCACTCTCTCATACAATCCCTTCCCCTGTTCTTGCTTCTTGCTTATCTTTTTGATCCATCGTAGGGTGTTATCCGTATGATATACAATATTAATATCATTTTTAATAACATATCTGCTTATTTTTTCCATCAACAAACCTATACTAAAAGCGAATCTTAAATGACACGTGTCAATGAGTGGTTAAAAAAATTCCCGCCTAGTTTTCTTTCCAAATTTCTCTTTTATAATTGATACTAATCATTAATATTTCTCAAATTATTATTTTCATGTATGATTCTAATAATACAGAGTATCTTTTTATTTAATATATAAGTCAAGATACGTACATGATATATCATTAACTATTAATAACAATAAATTTAATTTTTTTTTTATATTAATACAAATCTAAAATCGGAAAAAAAATCAATAAATATAATTTCAAAAATAAACTTTTTATACACAATAATTTATTATAAAATTGATGTTAGTATAAACTCAAATGCAAAATATACTTATGTGAATTGATTTCATTTAATTTTATCATGATAGATTTTGAATTAAGTAACTTAATAAGTTAGTATTACTCGTGCATGCACGGGATCTAAACTAGTTAGCTATTAAAAGACTTATTAGTTTAGAAGGGAAATATTGCATTACTTTGAAATTATTTTTTTTTTCTTAATATAACAGATGTGGAAGGTTTTTCTTTTTCTTTTTCTTTTTTTTTTTTAGAAAAGAGGTGAAAGATTTAGAAAAGAAAGAAAAAATTGTAGTGAATTAAATATTTCCTAATTAAGATGCTTTGTTTCCTCAAAAACAGATGTGGCAAGTGGTGCCGGTGCGGTGGCTGGCTGAGTTAGGGGGTTAGGTTTTTTTTTTTTTTTTTTAAATTTTTTTTTAAACTAATTAACAACTGACACATGTACATGGTGGCCCCACTAACGGTTTCCATCCAAAAATCTGTTAGTGGGTGGTGAAACCAAAATTTTGGGATTTTTGAAGGTGTTATAATTAAACTTTTTTTTTTAACAGGTGTTAAAAACAAAATCGGGGTCTTTAGCAGGTGTTATTTTCTAATTTGGCCTAATAAAAAATAAATTTAGATGCTTAGTTACTGAAAATGATATGCATGTAATTACTTCTATAATTTTTATGTACGGGATTTACACTTTGACAATTTTCTTATACGTATACGTAGTAGATGTTGTAGTAGTATCCATGGAAAAAGATTTTAATAACCAAATAATACTTTCCAATTATTTCTTTTATTTGTCCAAATCGTTTTTTGCACAGTTTTAATGCAAAACTACAATTAAAATATCTCAAAATAATCTTTCAAAAAAGAAAAATCTCAAAATAAGCATTACCAAGAAATTAGGATTTTTTTTTTAAAAATATCCACTTACTATATATTGTTGTCGTTCTAGACTTCTAGTAATAAGTAACAATCACCTAGTTTTTTTTTAATTTTTTTTTGGTATTTTACCACCAGTATGTTATTATAAAAAAAGTGACTGAAAATAGCATTAGAGGCTAATTTACTAGAGAGCATAAAAAAGAACAAGAAGATAGGATGATGGCAACTTGGAATGAAACATTATTAAATTTTCCCACCAAACTATCCAAAGCCCCTATATGATGTTATTTTTATTCGCTAATTATTGTCTTGTTATCTAAATTGCAGGCACATTATTATTTTAAGCCATAAGCAAACATATGGAGGGAAGTTGTCAAGCCTTAATAATATTTAGTGTTGTTCGCGCATCTTATAGTTCTAGC